GGATACACAGCATTAAAGGGCTGTGCACTGCCAGCACAGTGGCCAGGTCAAAATCCAGCCACCCCCTCCATGTTACCGGGTCACTGTGGAAAGTGGGTCCACTCCACTCCCTGCCCTACAGTTCCTGGCTCCGTGGGGACTCTTTTACCCATGACTAGCTGTGCTCATTTGAAGAACAGCTTCCCTGATAGGTTGAGAGCAAGGATCCTGTCTGTTTTATTTTCTGCTCTATATTATCTGCCTGGCACTAGAGGTACTCAAAAAATTGGACAGGCAATCACATGGGCTTTAAGCCCCAGCTGGTGCCTGTGGACACTAAAGTCAGAAACCAGGAAGGCAGTGAACGGAGCAATGTCTTTGGAGAGCTTTATAAGTGAGCCACCCTCATCTTTGAGTTGATTTAAGCTGAGTCCTGCTTGGATACAGGAGGAACTATTTAATGATCTCTTAATTGTGCACCTGAACCAGGGATCATCACTCTTGTTGGGTCAGGGTACTGAGAAGGGCAGTTAAAGTCGGGAACCTGAGAGTGATGGCCAGAGCATAAAGGGAGGATACCTGAAAGGCAGGAAGCCTCCAACCGTCATGTGGATGAGCGTAGACTTGTACCAGGGCTGGGGCGGGATTTCCCGGGCGATGTTCTTGGTGCGACAAGGTGCATCAAAGGAGCTAGCGTTGTTCTTCCCAAAGATGCCTCCAATGACAGTAAGGGGGAAGCCCACCAGCAGCCAAACCGTCAGAAGCAGCAGGATGGTGGTGGCTGGCAGAGCCTGTGTCGAACCATTAGCCCAGTGCACTGAGTTCACCACACTCCATGTCAGGAAGAAAGGCACTGCAGGGATGGGCCCCCAGAAGGAGGGTCAGCTATAGGAACATCCCTGGGGCCACCCACTCTGACTAGACCTAACAGGGAGAGAGATGAAGCATCCTGCTCCCAGGCTGACCTCCCCTTTTCACATCCCATAGTTCTCAGTTCCTTATCTTACCAACATCCCTTCCCCCATCCATTATCATTAAGGGTCAAGGCAGCTGTTACATAATGATCAAAGAGAAACACAATCCCCCTGCCTCCCAGGGCTTGTTCTGCTGTAGCATTGGTGATTCCTAGCATGACCCATTCCTTTGGCTTAAGGCCCTATTTTCAGAAAATCCTCTTCAAACATAAATGTGACGGGAGTATAAATCAGACACTCAAGATTGGGAACACGAAAGGTTCAAAATGCATACTACTACTGCTGCCTTTGAAAGGACAAGCTGGCTTGTAAGGCTAGAGTGGGGTAGCCGCCTGCAAATAAAAAAAAACAAACTTATTTTGGCGGGGACACCTGGGTGACTCAGTCAGTTAAGCGTCCGACTTTGGCTCAGGTCGTGATCTCATGCTTTGTGGGTTCAAGCCCCATATCAGGCTCTCTACTCAGTGCAAAGCCCACTTCAGATCCTCTGTCCTCCTCTCTCTACCCCTCCCCCACTGATGCGTGCACATGTTCTCTCTCAAAAATAAACGTTAAAAAAAAAATTTTTTTTTTAAGTAGGCTCTAAGCCCAGCGCAGAGCCCAATGTGGGGCTTGAACTCACAACCCTGAGATCATGACTTGAACCAAGATCAAGAGGGGGCCACCTAACCGACTGAGCCATCCAGGTGCCCCCAAGAGTGTTATTTCACTCTTAACATAATGGTTAAGAATACAGGCTCTAGAGTCAGACTGCCTGCATCTGAAACCTGGTTTGCTTCCTCTTAGGAGTGTAATTTCAGGCAAATTGCTTAACCAGCCTTCAATTTCCTCATCTGTAAAAATGGGGACAATATTAACTCCCGCATAGGGCTATTGTGGAGATTAAATGCGATGAAGGCATGCAGAGTGCTTACCATGCTGCCTAGAATATTTTAAGGACTTAATTTTTAAACTATGCAAAAGAAATGCAGTCTTGTCTTTTGAATGGTTTTCTTGTTTCTTTTGCCCATTTTCATTCCCTTAAGGCCTTACTCTAATTCTATCCCAGGTTCCATGATGTGTTGTAAGTTCCTAAACCCTCAGTCGCCAGGCCAGCCCACCAGGGAAAGGGCAATCCTCACCAGAGAAGAGGCTGGTGGTGAGAATGATGTTCCACACCCAACGCTCGCCTCCAATCTGCCGGTAGAAGTGGCTGGACACGTAGCCAGAGATGCAGCAGGTCAGGGCATACAACAAGATGGCTGCCGAGTTAATGGCCCCATGACGGTGCACATTGAACATGCCCAGCAGCGCCATGACAATAATGCCTGTAGGGTAGTAGTGGAAAGCCTGTGTTAGGTCTCCCCTGTCCCTTTTCTGACAACTTCAGAGGAATCATCCCCCTTTCTCCCAGACCCAAGGAAAACAATATCCCCTAATTCTGTTGTTCAGCAAACCCACAACTGAATATACACATGCTTGTTAAAGCCACCCACCCCTTAGGTTTGCCTCTCACCTTGGAAAGAAGAGAAGATCTGCAGATCTTTCCAGAACAAACCACCAACTTAGTTCTACCCCTTGAGAGAAATCCCTGATTAATTTTTATCACCTCACCAGTGCCAAGGGCCAGGAACTGGGCACCCACACCAAGCACAGCACAGAGCAGACCACGGTATGGAGGGAAGCGGAAGACATCTGTATGGATAATTTTCCAGCCATTGTCACCTTGATCAAAGTCATCACCAGAACCTGCAGAGGTAGTCTCCTCATCCAAGTTGTATCGAGCCAGGTCGTTTCGAAGCACACGCATGAGAATGACAGCCACAAAACCCACCAGTAAAAACACAAGCACCATGGAATTGATGATGGACAACCAATGGATTTCCAGTGTTCGGGGAAAGAAACCATTGTCATCGCCACGGCGCCTGTCACTCCGACGTTCCACTGAAGTCTCAGACCAGCGCACGCTGTAGGTGTGGGTGAGGCCTAAGAACTCATCAGGTCGTAACCCATCTAAGCTGTGGGGCTTGACGTCCCGCACAGAGACGTTGGCAAATATAATTCGGTCTCCGTGGAATTCTAGGTGGAAGTCCAGATGGGTCCAAAGCCCTATCTTGTGGCTGTGAGGCAGGAAGCCACTCTCCTCCATGTAGCCCACAAAGCCACGGATTGGCAAATCATCCACTACAAATTCAAAGTAATACAGTTCCTCAATGGCCTGGCGCAGTTGCTCCACCTACAAAGAGCAAGTCAGGAGTCAGATATGGCCTCCCCAGGCATAGTGTTAGAGCAAGGTTCCACAGCCTGGACACTTCTGACATTCTGGGCTGGATAATTTTTATTGTGGGGAGCTGTCCTGTGCACTGTAATATGTACCATCCCTGGCTTCTTCCCACTAGGTGTCAGTAGCACCCCCCCCCCAACCCCCTCCCGGCAGTGACAACCAAAATTATCTCCAGACATTGCCAAATATCCCTTGGGAGACAAAATTGCCCCCTGCTGAGAACCACTAGGTTAGAACCTAGTATGCTGGGATTCTCCAAAACAAGCAATGTGACTTGACAGGGTTAAGGTGTAGAAAAAGGAGAAAGGCAAGGTGTCAGAAGGTCTGGAGTAGACTAAAGAAAAGTGCCCTAAGATAGGATTTGCTAAAGAAAAAAAAAGCATCACGGGAAAGATTAGAGTGTAAAGGAGCCAGTTAAGAAAGCCAAGAGGTAAGTATGGAAGGAAACAACTATATAGAAGTGATAGTTGGGACCTTATTACCAACAGAGCAGCCTGGAGTCCGGAGCCCTGGGCTCTAATATCACCTCTGCAATTCAGTATCCATGTGGTCTTGGAAAGTCACTTTTGAGCAAATATGTTTCTTTCTCAACTGAATGCAAATAATACCACCTGTCCTGACTACCTGGTGGGATTGTAGTTAGAGTTAAGTCAGATCATTTCCATAAAGGTGCTATAAGACCATAAATTGTAAGACACTGTTTAGTCCCTGGGAGGGAGGGCTGACTTCTAGCCAATGTGGAGAGGCTGACCTGTGCAGAACTGAGCTGCATGTGGCACAGGATTCTCTTCTCCACATTCTCCCGAAAACGTATCTCGTACAAAGACTCAGCCATTCGGTCCCCATCCAACACTTCACCCAGGCTAAGGCTTTTGTGTCGTATCTTCTCAGGGCAGCAGACCGGAAGCTGATAGTAGTGGTAAGTCTCCTGAGGGTTGTGGTAGGGTCCCACTTTGTTGACATATAGAATGACGGGGTCACCGGCCTTGTAGTGTGTCACACCTTCCACCCCAGGCTCATGGCCTGTGCCCAGCAGCAGCATCAGAAGTGACAACCACTGGTAGCTCCAACTCCGCGGGTGCCCTAGGACTGTCATCCTTAAGGCAGCAGAACCTGTTTGGGGGAGTCCTGCAGTTATGGAAACCAACTCCTGATGCCCCAGGTCAAGTCGTTCGAACCGCTCCAATTCCTCCCCTTGGGTTCTCCAACCCTCCTTCGGGAGGCCGCCTCCCGACCCCCAGACAACACTGTCACACTGTCCTCCTTTGCTCTCCTGTTCTCTCAGTCTGGGGCCCCCCTCCCGCAGCCCGCCTGCCCGGGACCTCCCCGCGCTCCAGCCCGTTTCCATGGCAACGCCACGCGGCCTCGCACCTCGGGCACCTTCCCGCGGCCCCCGCGGGGTCCTCACCGCACGGGAAGGGCTGGCCGAGGCGGCGCCCGCGGCCTCTGCGGCCCCGTAGCTGCCCTTGGGTTCCTGCCGGGGTCTCCCCCCTGAGCGGCGCGCTAGCGGCGGCCCGGGAAGGACCTGACGACCGACCTCCACGGGGTTGGCCGCCGCGGTGCCTGATCGCAGCGGCTGTTGCCACACCATACGGTAGACCGCACTGAGTTCAGTTAAGTGTTCGCCGACTAGCTTTCTCCAGTCGGGAGCCCGGCCCAGCTCTGGAGAGCCCGCAAGGCCCGGCTAGCCCGTCCCCCGGCGGTGGGCCCTCCCGGCGATCTGGAGAGCAGCCCGGGACACGTCAGTCTTACCACTTCCGCCTCACCCGCGGGGACCTCAGCCGGGCGGAAAGCTTCTTTTCTGGAGCCTAGTGGGGACCACGCCCCCGATGCTGCGGCCGGTGCGCTGCTCCGCCGACGGTCTTTCGGGCAGGGACTGAGGCTGAGGCCTGGCTGCGGGGACGCGGACGCCACTTTGGGGTAAGAGTCGCTGCCGGGCCGCTCGCCCGTCCCAGGGAAGACTTGGGGGCACCTGCCGGCAGAGGCCGGAGACCGTGCCCGCCGCACGCGCCCAGTAACTGTCCAGGAAACGGAGCCCGGTTGGTGGCTGGGCCTACACCTAGTGGACGCCCAGGAGCATTTGCCGGCTGAACCGGTGGGTCTCGCCACCGAATGCAGGGGGCGAGCTCAGAGAGGCGGTTGATGGCCCCCAACCCGGGCGGAGGTGAGACTTTGGGCGTCGCTGTGCTGGGACATCGAGGGCACAGTACGTGCAAGTGTCCTGGAATCTGCATCTCATCTCACTGCTCCTCTTCCAACCCGTCACGAGTGGCCTCTCGCCAAAAAATAAATACAGAAGTAAAAATGTCTTCCCGAGGCTGTGCTGGAGGCTTCCCCGGCCAAATAATGACAGTCCCATGTTCAAAGACAGGCAAGCCTGAGGCAGGTCTGGTGCGGAGACACGCAAAGAGACAGGGTGTCAGCCCTTTTATCGGGTGAGTTGGGCAGCCTGGCAGGGTTATTGTTAAGCTGCAGGCAAAGAATCTTGGCATACGTTCGACTCTTTCGGTGTTCTTGTTATTTACGTGTGTGTGTGTGTGTGTGTGTGTGTGTGTGTGTGTGTACACGCGCGCGCGCATGCGTTTGGGCTTCTCAATTTTATATTGCAGATTACTCTGGAAAAGTTTACCCTTGCCTGTCTTGGCTATCTTAAGGGTATCTGCCATTGGGAGAGTTTTGAAGCTTAGACCCAGGGGCAGTGACTTCCGTTTGGCCACTTGGGGGCAACATGTAAGGATGCAGATTTAAGGTTCTCTTTCCCTGGGTAAAGAAATAGTGCCTCACCTCCCTGTAGGAGGAGGTGAGGTTCCAGGAAGTAGGGGATTGAGTTTTTTAGATAATCAGTGGATTTTGTAATTAGAAAAGTAATTTAGAGAAGCCAGAAACCTGGGACTCTCTCACTCCCCTGTCCCCAGGGGACATCCTCTTCAGATCAGTGCCACCAAGCCCCCCCCTACTTATTTCCTGAATATTTTCCAATACTTGCCCTCGTTGCAGCTGCCTTGGTTCAGGTCCCACCCTCTCTCACCTAAATTACCATGATAGCCACCTTGCTAGTGTCCTGGTCACCTCCCAACTTGGATCCATTTTCCATACTGCTGCTATAAAGATTTTTTTAAAAATGTGTGTCCTATTTCCAGCAACAGTGGTTCTGAAATCTTGGTGCTCATCAGATTGAACCAAAAGCTTATTTAAAACATAGAGACCTGGGTCCCACCAAATCAGGATCTTAGAGGAGGGGGTGACTGGTCATTATTTTTTAACAGGCTTTGATTTTGACTAAAATTTGACCATGAGTACATAGGATAAATTCTTAAAAGCTTGGCATATGAGACCTGTCAGACCTGGATCTTTACTTCTCCAGGTACATTACCCTTTTGGAACCCTGTCCTGTGTTCAAACTGGAATCTTGAATGTCGTGTTCTCTCAAGTCTACAAGCTTATGTAGCTCCTTTTGCCTAGACTGCCCAGTCTACCATTCCCTACTTACCTGCCTGGAGACTTCTAACAGTGCAAATGCTTCCCCTATAAAGCCTGCTTTTACATCTTCCAGTCTTTGATTATAGCACTTTACCTCACTGGACTGTTATTTTACTTATGTGTCTGTCTTCCTTGTTAATTGCTAACTACTCACAGGAAGACTAAGTTATACATCTTGATATCCTTAGCAGTGCTTTTGTATAAAGTCGGCAGCTTAATACATGTTTTTCAAATGAACTGGTTTACCCCCTGCACAATGATAACACAGCTGCCACCAGGCTGCCCATCCAAGGGCCAGCCAACTATCCAGAGGGTGGGGCTGTGTGGCTCTCCTTACCATGGTGTGCCCTGGACAACTCATCTTGGTAGATCGAGGATGTAGATTAGGCTTCCAACAAACTTTGGAACCATCCTGCCAGCAGGATCAGCAGGCTATCAGTAAATAGGAATTTACCAGTAGTCTATGGCATAATCTTTTGTTGGGAGTTGTTTTGCTTTGGAAGATAGAAATGTGATTCTTCCCTTGTTCTTTCCTGAGTGCCACTCCCCACCCCCACCCCACCCCCTCATCCCCCCCCCCAGTCTTAAATCCAGGTTAACCCTTCAATGACCACAATCGCTGTCATTCCCTGCAACCTGCATTTTTCTAGCTTGTCTTCCTTACCCATGCAGCTTAGATTTGGCATTCCATCATTTCAGCCACATTCTTGACTGTGTTCTTGATGCCTCTCTTCCATTATTGTTTCATTCCAGCTGCCAAGTGAAACCTTAATCTTGGGTTCATATTCAAGAACTGTCAGTATTCAAGCACCTATACCCAAGATGAATCTTAACATTGTGTTAAAATCGTGTGTCTATAAATTGTGTTTTTAACCTCAGTTGGACCCCCAGTGCTGCTCAGTGATCCTGTTCATTTTCCAGATCAGCTCTCTTATTCTGCACAACCCATTCTTCTCAAACCTCTGACTTCATCTCCCTCTTCTTGCCAGTTGACCTCCCTGACAGCCTAGTGGGAGATGCAAGCAGAAAAAAAACACAGGCACTGTGACAGAGAAAGTATTGGGGCTCTGGGAGCACCCAGGAGGGAGGAACATCCAATTTGCTCTTGAGCAGTTGGTAAAAGTGTCCTTAAAACAGCATATGAGCTAAGTCCTGAAGGGAGAGTAGGGGTTTGCCAGACAGAGAAAGCAATGAAGGAAAAGTAATTCTGTTTGACTGTAGCATTGCATGTAGGTTAAAAGATAAAATTGGAGAAGTAAGCAGGGTCAGATATATAAATATGTAAATATATATATATATATATATATATATGTATGTATGTATGTATATAAATTTGGACTTGATCCTGAGGAGAATGGGGAGACACTGAATTGTTTTAAGTGGGCATAAAATCAGATTTACACCTTGGAGTTGAGGGTGAAGACTGGAGGGGAGCAGAAAGCTTGCGAGAGCGATCAGTTGAGAACTGAAAGAGGCTTCAGCTAAGGCAGTGACAGCTGCTCCCGGAGCCTGAAACATACTGTTAAAAATACTTAGGAGGTAGAAGAGACAGAATTTGGTGACAGATTGCATGTAGGGGCCGAGGTAGAGGGAAGGGTCCAGGTGACATTTGGGTGTGTGAACTGAAAACAACTAGTATAGAACTTACAGAAAGAGGAAACCTAGGGCAAGAACATACAGACTTCAGTTTTGGACATGGCACGTTGAAGATACAAACATGTCCATGTGAATCCAGCAAGCAGTTGGATGCTGGATCTGGAACTCCAGAGACATCTGAGATAGACAAGATTAGGAGCAGTCAGAATGGATGTAATAAATAAGGTGTTGGGAATGGGGGAGATCCTAAAGGATGAGGACATAAGACCTATGGTAGAAACTTTGCGGTATGATTAAGGGACAGACAGAGAAGATAAGGCTCCAGTGAAGTGTGAGGAGTGGCCAGAGGGATAGGAGGAATCTTACAGAATTTAAGGTCATGGAAAGCAAGATAAGAATGCATTTCAAGGTTCAGAGGTGGAATCAGGTGGAATCTATTCCACCCTTTCAATCCGAGTGATCCTTGTAATCTTGTAACTGCCTTTACTGGTGTAAAGCTATGGAAGTGATGCTTTGTGGTTTTGGAGCCTAGGTTTCAATTGATCATACAATTTCTGATTTTTTTTTTTTTCTCTTGAAATTCAGTGCTACTGTGTGAAGGAACTCTGGCTAGTCTGCTGGATAGTGAGACCATATGCAGCAGAAACAAACGATCCCAGCAAAGATGAGACCGCTGGAAGAACCACCCAACTGAGCCCAGCTCAACTTGCAAAAAAAAAAAAAAAAAGGTGGTTGTTTTAAGCCAGAAAAACATTTTAAGGTTAAGATTCCTTAGAGTATGTTTCTACAACACCTTATAATGCTCTGTAATATTCTCACACGTGGGTTTCTCATGCTGGATAATAAAACTCTAGGAGCATAGGGTCTCTATTGGTCTTATTATTTTATCCCAGTACTCAGCCTGGTACATAGTGGGTGCTCAATAAACATGAATGGTTGAAGGGATTAGATCTATGGCGGAGGCAGGCAGGGTGCGGGGAGTCTCACCAAATTGCAGAAGTTGCCTCTAGGAATATGTTCCAAAGTGCACTTCATTCTCAAGTCTTATGGCCAGTGGTGGAAAGAAGGTGAATTGTGATGTATGTGGAACATGGGACCTTGAGGAGTTCCGTAACCAGGAGGAGAAAGAAGTAACAACAGCTAGTGGAGACAAAAAGAACTGCTTCTCCCTTCTTCCCCCTCCACGTTTCTAGTGAGAGTTGAGCCCAGCATCACAGACTTGTGTGACTATATAGGCAAGCTTTCAAAGACTAACTTTACTTTGGTACCCTAGCCCTCATGGCTTTCTGAGCAGATAATAGGCTTTTAAGTAGCAAAGCTCCCTGCTCTCAGAAAGCCCAACACCATGCGGAAGGGAGACACCCTGGAGGTAGCACCACCCACCTCAGCCTACCGCTCTGTCATGGAGGAGTATGGTTACGAGGTGGGCAAGGTCATTGGCAATGGCTCCTATGGGACGGTTTATGAGGCTTACTACACAAAGCAGAAGATCATGGTGGCTGTCAAGATCATCTCAAAGAAGAAGGCCTCTGAGGACTACCTTAACAAGTTCCTGCCCCGTGAGATACAGGTTGGAAAGGGGGCTAGAAGAGGGAACTGGTACCAAGCTCATTAAGACTTCTGGGCATGGTCTGGAGGGGATAGAGCCAGAACCCCACCCCCAACCCCAAATTGGTGAATGTCTTACTATGCAGCAGGAAGATGACTTGATACAAATTCAACCTCTTTCCACCCACCCACTCACCTCCAGCGCCTCACAAAGTAAAAGTACAAAGCATAGGGTCTGCCCACAAACCACCAGCCCTCTGGGGTTTAATCCTGCTGCAAAGTTCTAAGTACACTAGCAGCAGGACAGTAGGAGGGCTGGGAGCACAGCCAGGGTTCTCCCTTCCCAGGTTTGATGGGTCCCTCTTCCGGGGCCAGGTAATGAAGGTCCTGCGGCACAAGTACCTCATCAGCTTCTATCAGGCCATCGAAACCACATCCCGAGTATACATCATTCTGGAGCTGGCTCAGGGTGACGTCCTTGAATGGATCCAGCACTATGGGGCTTGCTCTGAGCCCCATGCTGGCAAGTGGTTCTCCCAGATGACCCTGGGCATCGCCTACCTGCACAGCAAGGGCATCGTGCACCGGTGAGGGCGCTGCCACCCAGGCTGAGGCCTTTGGGCTCTCAAGGGGGTTTTATGCATATTTTCCATTTTCTGCCCTCTTTTTCCCTCCCTTGGCCTTCCTCAGTTATCTAGGCCCATCCATCCCCTCTATTTTAATTGTCTGGTCAAGAACATTTATGTAGTACCCACCGTGAACACAGCACCCTGTGAACTACAATGATGAGCCCTCGCTGGTCCCCAGGTACCATCCTCTCTCACCTTTGGGCTCTGCTCATTAACTCCATGGTTCCGTCCTGTCAACCTTGTGTCCTCATAACAGCACCTGTCTCCCACTTTGCCTTTTCCATCTCTAGCCTCTGACCCCTGGCCCTTCAGCTCCTGGTCTAATACTAAGCCCTCTCCCCAGCCTGACCCCCAGCCTTTCTGCTGCTGGTAGGGACTTAAAGTTGGAGAACCTGTTGCTGGACAAGTGGGAGAACGTGAAGATATCGGACTTTGGCTTCGCCAAGATGGTGCCTTCTAACCAGACTGTGCGTGGTAGCTCTTCTTACCGCCATATGAACTGCTTTACCCACCTCAGCCGGACCTACTGTGGCAGCTTTGCTTATGCCTGCCCGGAGATCTTGCTGGGCTTGCCCTACAACCCTTTCCTGTCTGACACCTGGAGCATGGGCGTCATCCTCTACACTCTAGTGGTGGCCCGGCTGCCCTTTGATGACACCAATCTCTTAAAGCTGCTGAAAGAGACTCAAAAGGAGGTCACTTTTCCACCTAACTACTCCATCTCCCAGGAGTGCAAGGTGCTGGCTCCCCCAGGAGGGCTGAGGCCTCAGGGATGACCTACAGGGAGGGAATACCTAATGTAGGCCTCCCCACCCTGGGGGAGGCTCTTCCCCACCGTCACTGTCTCACACTGTAGCCCCTGCCCCAGAGTAGTTGGTGGGGAGGGAGCTTAAAGGGCCATTCCTGGGCTCCACACCTTAGATGTGAGTGATGAGCTGGTTTCAGCAGGATGAGGCAAGGATTTCCCCCCAAGGAACCCTTCCTTCCCTTCTGCTCCAGGGAGTTACATGCCAGGCTCATCAGGATAAAATGAGGGCCACACCCCCTTTTACCAGAGTGGTGTGATGGGCTATCCTGCTTCTCTCTCAGGTCCAACTGCTCATTGCCTGTGTGGCACAATGGGAGGCAAGCTCAGCCAAGACCTCTCTCTCCCCTGCCCTAGAACCTGGTCTTCCAGACGCTATGCCAAGCCACCAAGCGTGCCACCATCCTGGACATCATCAAGGATCCTTGGGTGCTCAAGTTCCAGCCTGAGCAACCCACCCATGAGATCAGGCTGCTTGAGGCCATGTGCCAACCCCCCAGCACCACTAATCGGCACCAGTCCTTGGAAATCAATACCTAAAAGTGGTTAAGGGAGGGAGTTGAGAGAGGAGCAAAGCAGGAGGGTCTGGGGCTAACGATCTTTTCTACCAAAAATAAATCTATACCTGATTTAGTTTCATCAGCTGGAGTCAAAGACACTCTTTCCTCAAGGGAACTAGCAGGGAACACTACTGAGTCCAAGAGGTGGATTTCTAACCAGTCTGTAACTGGTCATCTTGACACCTATTAAAGTCAACACTGTAATTCAGTATATAGCTCACATGTGGCTCAGGGGGAGAGGGTGCTCAGATGAACATCCCTTTCGGGAAGTTTCATTATTCTAAGTAAATATTATTACACATCTCTGTGCATTCTAAATGTTCAAGCAGTGGGGCAGAGGCCCTGGTTGCTGTTTGGCCATGGCTCTCCCTGTTTATAACCAAAGGGATGGCATTATTTGCTCTTAGAAATGGGTATCAGGATGTGTGAAATGCCTTGGTTTCTTCTCCTTCCTTCAAATGCCACCTTAACCACGACTGAAACGATCCGAGTGAATCATGCACACTATTGCTCTTAGAAACAGAAATGACAGTTCAAACCAAGCCTGTTAGCTATGGGTTCTGAATAATGGAAAGCTCCTTGCTCCTTTATCCCTGTATTCTCCCTCCCTGCCCTTGAAAATGGGCTTTGCAAAGGGAAAATGAGTAGTAAGTCATGGGGCTGTCTTGGCAGAGGCCTGACTGGGGGAAAGCAATGAGAGAAGACTCAGAGACAGCTCCACATGGTCCCAAGATAAATAATAGGTGGCAGTTTAACCTTAACCTCAGCACCAGGCAACTCTAGGACAAACCAATGTGAAAGATGAAACAGTACATGCCTGGAACATAGTAGGTCAAGATATTGTCAGTGCCCACTTTCTCTATGTTCCAATGCCCCTTCTTACTCCCACTGATTCATCGCTTGAAACAAAGCTCCAAAGACCAGGGAAGAGTTTCAGGTGTAGATGAGGCAGTATAAACACTAGGGTTCCATCTGCCTGATTTTATTGGGAACAAGGGCACTGTAACTGTTATCAAAGAGAAGGAAGCCAAGGGGCTCCTCTTGCACCAACATTCTCTTTCAGAGTTGAGCCAGGGAGGGGAGGGCAACAACCCTTTTTCAGGCAGGGTCACTATCACCCTCAGCAGGACCCCCCCAAAAGGCTACGTTCCTTTGCTTAGCACTTGGCACTTAAGGAAAAGAGACCAATGAAGTCAGCGCCAGGAAAACAAGCCCAGACACATCAGGACACCCACTCAGCCAACTGCTTTAGTGTTTCTTCATCTTCATCCGCTTTGGGAGCTTGGGGGGACAAGGATACCCGGAGAAAGAAAGAAGTATTAGGGCTTTGGCAACGTCAATAATCCCCTGCTGTGACACTGAGAGTCTGCTGAAACATCTCTCCCTCAGCAAAGAACGTAAAGGTGTGGTCCTTCTGCTTGCTGGGCTGCTGCAAATTCCCAGAGCAGCTCTGTACAAATTGGGAAGATGTGCTGCTTTCTCCCAGCACTTGCAGCCCCACACCAGGGTACACAGCTTGCTGAGTGAGGCAGAGGCTGGACTTAGTCTTCATTCCCCCTCAGCCAGGTACCCTTATGCGGTCAACAACCTGTGCAACTGTAGCAGCAGCCCTCTCTGCCTGGCTCCTTTGAGGCAGGATGTAAGAAGAATATAATCTTTCCCCATATCTATCCCACCCTCTCAAGTCCTTGAGACAAGAGAATAACCCTGAGTACCTGGCTCTTCAGGTAGATGTGTGGAAGGTACACCGGGCAGTTTGATGGGGGGTTCTTCCTCCTTGTCGCCTACATGTAACAACTCCCGGGCCAATTCCTCCTGCTCCAGCTTCTCTAGCTCCTCCAACAGTTCATCCTGGACATGGGACAAGAAGACTGTTAAAAATGAAGAAAGGAAATGTCTACTTCCAAAAACATACCATTTTTGAATCCCCCCTCCCAAATTTGCCCCACGATTCTCTTGGGCATTACTTCCGGCTAGTCTCATGCTTTCTCCAATATTCCCTGACCCCTTGCTCCAATCACCTCATCCACATCAAAGCCCACAGGCCGAGAAATGGCATCTGAGATCTGCTGGGCCACCTCCTGTTGTTCTGTAATGTCGGCCATCAGTTCATCCACCTTGTCAATGTCCCTGAGAACAAGATATATAGCTATGAAACCAGGCAACAACGCTCCTGACTTTCCCATCTTGCATGGATGAAAACCCTCCTGTCTGTGGCCTCAGACTGATAAATCCATGGCTATCAGAAGTGATCCCTGGGAAATTATGTGGAATCAAGTCTGGGCTGAGAATTGGCAAGAAGCCACTTTGGGGAGAATAGGCTGTACTCCTCTTCCTGAAGGATCTTTAAAAATTAGGAAAATCCCTCCTTCTCTGTCTGCCCTTCTCCAACTCACACTCTTACTTTCTCTCAAAAATAAATAAACATTAAAAAAAAAATTAAAAAAAAAAAAAAAAAAAAAAGGAGCACCTGGATGGCTCAGTCAGTTGAGTGTCTGACTTCAGCTCAGGTCATGATCTTACTGCTTTTGAGTTTGAGCCCTGCGTCGGGCTCTGTGCTGACAGCTCAGAGCCTGGAGCCTGCTTCCGATTCTGTGTCTCCTTCTCTCTCTGCCCCTCTCCCACTCACACTGTTTCTTTCTCTCAAAAATAAATAAACATTAAAAAAATATGTTTTTAATTAGGAAAATCCTCTTTCCTCCCTAGAATGCTTCAGCCAGCAAAGAGATCTTCCAAGAAGCAAGGAGACTGACAGAGGTCTAGCTGTCACAGACATCTATAAATTTACATTCTAAGAGGTTTTAAGATTCAAGAGAACATACCAAGCTACTTTCCCCAGTGCCTGGGCCCCCTGCTTCCCTCCCCCCGTACCCACATGTCCTGGTAGGCCTTCTTCATGCCTTGGGCAGCAAGCTCCATGGTCCGAAGCACTTCTGCATTGGTGGTGGCATTCTCAATGGCCTCACGCTGAAACTCCAGGGTAGATAATGTCCCATCGGTTTGTGCCAGCTGCTGTTCGAATCTTTTCTTCCTCCGCAAAGCCTGTAGGGCAGCTGACCCAGCCCACACCCTGAGCATCAGAGCCAGGAGCCCTTATGCTTCCCACCTGGGCCCGCCCAGTTGGCACCTCTCCCCCATTACCTCTCTTATTCTTGGTCCCATGCTTCTTGGCCATTTGTAGCTCCTGTTGAATCTTCTGCTCCAGAAACTCTTGTTTCTTGATCAATATCTTCTCTGTCTCCTTCAGTTTCTGTATTGCCTCTTCAGGGGTTGGCCCCTTCTCCTTCTTCCCTGGAGTGCAATCAAGCAGGCCCATATTGTGTGGAGGAAATATATTAGCCACCAATCACTGAGCGCAGAGTGTGTGCTAGGCACCTGTCTTACTCTTAATCCCAAAATGACTCTCTATAATGAATATACTATCTTCACTTTACAAATGTGAAAAACAGGCATATATGTGTTAAATAATCATTTGTTTAAAATCACAGCTAGATAGAATTGAGCAGGAATTGAAATGTGGCAGTATGACTTCCAAATCCAGTATTCTTTGCTATTTCAAATTGCCTTTCGGGGCGCCTGGGTGGCTCAGTCGGTTAAGAGGCCGACTTCAGCTCAGGTCATGATCTCGCGGTCTGTGAGTTCAAGTCCCACGTCAGGCTCTGTGCTGACAGCTCAGAGCCTGGAGCCTGTTTCAGATTCTGTGTCTCCCTCTCTCTGACCCTCCCCCATTCATGCTCTGTCTCTCTCTGTCTCAAAAATAAATAAACGTTAAAAAAAAAATTAAAAAAACAAAAAACAAAACAAAAAACAAATTGCCTTTCAAGTCATTCCCAGGCTTCCCCCCCAACCCCCGCCCCGGAGAAGTTTTAGGTTCACAGCAAATCTGAGTGGAAGATACAAAGTTCCCATATACCCCCTGCTGCCACATATGCATGGCCCTCCTATGAGCACATCCCCACTGGAGTTTGGTCACTTTTTTTTTTTTTTTTTTAATTTTTATTTAAAAAAAAAAAATTTTTTTTTCAACGTTTATTTATTTTTGGGACAGAGAGAGACAGAGCATAAACGGGCGAGGGGCAGAGAGAGAGGGAGACACAGAATCGGAAACAGGCTCCAGGCTCTGAGCCATCAGCCCAGAGCCCGACGCGGGGCTCGAACTCACGGACCGTGAGATCGTGACCTGGTTGAAGTCGGACACTTAACCGACTACACCACCCAGGCGCCCCGTTTGGTCACTTTTTATAATCGCTGTTCCACTTGCTGTCCTAGGAGATGCCCAAGGTCCTAACTCCACACCCTCAAACTGAATGAAGTACAGGGGGTAGAGAAAAAAAAAAAAAAATCTGATCTCCATTTTCCCCTTCATCTTCTGCACTTCTGACAGTAATTAAAATTAATAAGGCAGGCCCTTGCCTGCTTAAAATCCTTTCACACTCTCCATTGCCTGCAAGATAAAATCTAAAACTTTAATGAGACATACAAGGCCCTTCTTGACCTGGCCCTTGTTCACCTGTCCATCCACACTTCTACTTTCCTCTTCTTCAGCTGGCGTGGGCATGTGCGCGCGCGCGCACGCCCACGCCCACGCGCACACACACACCCACCAGCCAGAACCCCTCTTTCCCCTAAGTATTACTACCATACTCGTTCCTGCCTGTTTTGCACACAGTTACCTTCCCCCTGGAGTACCTCAATTCGCCACCTGGCATACCTTAGCCCTCTGGATCACAACCCCTCACGCCTCTTCTGTGCTCCCCCTAGTTTTTAGGAACATCTCCATCATGGAGTTCCCACACTACACTATTACCAGTTTTTGATGGTCTCCCCCCACCAGATGGGAATTTTAAGTAGACAGTCTTTTTTCATCACCTCGGATTCCCCCCTTGGCCAGCATAGAGGAAGCACCAGTGTTTTGGAAAGGACTAGATGATGACAGTCGGAAACTCAACTCCCCAGCCTAAACAGTGGGGACCCTCCATTCACGTTCTGGCCCGACCCCGAGCTCTTCTCCCTGGGGCGGGGGAAGGAAGACAGCCAGAGCCAGACAGCCCGACAAGGCGGGGCCTCCTGGCACGTGAGGAGGCCTGGGCCCTGGACGGGGTCTTCGCGACAGCCGGGGGCCATGGCCTTCCCCACACCCCCTTGGCCAGCACCACCAGCCCACCGGGCTCACCCGGGCTCACCCCTCCCGAAGAGTCTGCCGAGACCACTCATCTCCACCACCCTTGCCTCTCCTGCCTCCTCTCCGCGGCTTCTTGCAACTTCCGCCTGGCTCCCGGGAGGGTGCGGTCTCATCGCTCAGAGACCGGCCTGGGCCAATCCCTCCATGGGGCACCGCGGCGACATCATCAACATGAGCCAACGAGGCCACTTCTGCCACGTGACCCGAGCCACCAGCCCCCAACCCATTCGCTCCTCTTAAAGCGGCCGCTCCGTTTTTATTTCTTTAAAAAGGCCGCCCCACCCCCACTCCCCCAAAAAGCACAGTATTTGTTTTCCTGAAAGGGAATGTGCAGGGTCTTACATCCCACTTCTTGGGGCCAGTGGAAGAGTTCTCCCGGCCCTTGACAGAGTTCAGGAATTGGGGCGCGGATGGTATGAGCACAAGGGGGCCACAGTCGGGTGTGCCACAAGTTTCTTTGGCAGAGCCGGATGAAGTCTAATTCCACTCGCTCTGGTCTTGGCACCTCCGAAAAGCCAATGCCAGCTACAAAGCTAGAAAAACAAAAACCAGCCAGAAGATTTCTGTCACACACAAACATACTTTAATAATTTACAAATACACCTGAAAATGCCTTCATGATTTCCTTTCAGTTTTATGCTTCAAATGAGGCTCATCCACAGGACTGGACCTCAGGGCCCAGCTTGGGCCTTTGCAAACGTCTCCAGTCCCTGACTTAGGGTTTGAAGATTCATTCCATTCTGGACATGAATGCAGGTAACTCCTAGAAAGAAAAGAAGCCACATTTCATCAGGCCTGTTGTTACTCTCACCTTTTTTGGGTGCACCCAAAAACTGCATGCAAGCTACCCATCCTGGACCTATCTATCTAACCGCTCCTAGGAACTTTCTCCTCATTCCCCAAAAGGCTAATCTCACCACTCTGTACCCAGTTTGCTGACGTCTAGGATATTCCGCTTCTCGTCATCAAAGAAGATCATCTGGGAGAAGACAACTCCTGTCTTCTGCTGCAACCTGTGCAAGGCGGGGCAGGGGGTGACCACACTGGCTTCTTAGCTCCTGCAGCCTCTCTGGCCTCCCAGCTTCTACCTTATCTCTGCATACCTCTCAAAGTGGGTGACCTTGCTGCCTGGGTAGATTTCCCGATGAACAAAGTATCTGTCAAGGTCAAAGAGCTCCAGTAGCTGGTTGGCCCCTTCAATCTCCCCTGTTCTGCAAAAAGATGTAATAATAGATGGGATCAGCAGGGCCAGGGGCTGCAAGCCAAGTTATGTTTAACCAAGGGGAAATCAACTTGCTGTCTTTCCAGGATAAGTAGGCACCCTCGGTCCTTATTCGATTCCCCAGGCTTCCCGTGTGACACAGGCGGCGCTAAGCCAGTCAAGGTTTAATAAATAAAAGGCACAGGAAAGGGTACAATTAGAAAAATATGCAAATACGTGCGAATCTGCACCGTCAAAGTTTTTGTAGCCAAGGGGTTACACGAGACGCCTCCTCATGCATGCGTCTCTCAGCATGAGACCGACAGCTTTTTTTCAGTCGCTCTCCTTACCGTGAAGCGGCCGCGACGGGTACCTCAAGGCCCTGCAGCCTTTCCAGGACGTCACGCACCTCTGGATACAGTCGGACTGTCTGGCCCCGCCTATCCCGGACGGCCCCGTCGCTGGAGGGCGAGAGCGCGCTCAGCGGAGGCCGGCCCCGCCCGGACCCGGCCTCCCCGGCGCCGCCTCACCTGCCCTTGTGGAACGGGGGGTCTACGTGCGTATCCACCCAGAACGGCCAGAGCGTGTAATCTGCGGGAGGACGGAGGAAGGGCTCAGGCTCGGAGCGCGCAGGGCCCCGAGAACTGCAGCGGGGCTTTGGGAAAGGAGAGCACGCCGCAAATCTCCCCGGGCCGGTTCCTCACCCAGATCGAAAACCACCAGCTTTGGGAGCCGCGTCATGACCGACGCTGGCAGGCTGCGCGATGCGAGGCGAGGCCTTGCGGCTGCAAACCGCTCCTCCTGCCTTAGAGAAACAGCGACTAGAGCGTCGCCGTGCGGAGCTGCGGCCGTGGGTCTGGAGGCCGCGCAAGAGCGCCTCCTGACGGCGGACCGGGGGAAGGACTGTAGCTAAGTGCCCACGCCACCGCAGTGGTCCATCTCTCCGAGACACCTTCTTCCCTTTCTTCTCCAACCAGCGTGGCGGGAATCGGCTAGAGACGCCAGGGAAGGGAGCCCTTTCATCCGACACCTCTCTCATTTTATCTTCCCAGCTGAGACCTAAGTTATCCGTAGCTTTGTCACTCACTCTTCACTCAACCTTTCTCCGAATCCGCCTCTCTCCAGAACTCAGAGCCCTCCCCCGCATTCCAGCCATAAACATCGTAGTGTCTGTGAAGCCCTTGAGGCTTCTTGAATCGGGCCCAAATGGCCAGTAGGGGTACAACGGGAGAGAATTCACTCTCCTGGTTTCTACTACCTACATCAGTAGTACACTGGTAAATGTGTAACAACCAGTTTGGGGGGAGGGGCTGATTTGTATTGTTTGGCTTCTGTAAATATTCCTATCATGGCCAATTTCAAGCTACAAGCACGAAACCAATTATGGGGTTGGGAAGAGATGACAATAATTAGATCTCCTGAGCTGATAAGAACTGGCTCCACACCACTTAGAGCTGACTTTCCTACAGTCTGATAATCCCCCTAAGGGCACATTCCCTTCCGTCGTCCTTCAGAAATGTAAAAGAGTATATACTGTGATGTGCACTTTTGTGCAATACAAGAAAGATTCCAGGAGGTCAGGAAATATTTTATTGGCAACTAGGGACATAGCCATAAGAGAGGGAAGCACACAGGACTGCAAACTAAAACCCAATGGTCACCAAGGGCCCTTTGGGTCAGGAACACCGCATCCTGGGGTCCTCACGGTCTTCTGCCAAACAAGACTGGGCATCCAGGAGAGGGGGCAGTGGCTCTGGTGTCCCACAGAGTGAGAGGACATATGATGCCTCATTAGGAGCGACAGGGTAAGGAGGTAAAATGGAGGGAGGGTCCATCACTGCCTAAGGCCACCTCCTCCTCTCAGAGCCAACACCAGGTGGAGGACTGAACCACCTAGGATCTTGTAATCAGCTGCTGTCTTCTCATCATTCCTGCAGGAAAAGGCGGCAAAAAAAAAGGGGGGGGGGATTACACACCCCCCCTACACCACCATTCTTATGCCTAGTTTTTTGAGTCTTTCTGGGGGGGTCTATGAATGCAGAAAGAATTTACATCTTTATTTTTACTAACCCCTTAAATGAAATTTGATAAATTTTTTTTTTAATTTTTTTTTTCAACGTTTATTTATTTTTGGGACAGAGAGAGACAGAGCATGAACGGGGGAGGGGCAGAGAGAGAGGGAGACACAGAATGGGAAACAGGCTCCAGGCTCTGAGCCATCAGCCCAGAGCCTGACGCGGGGCTCGAACTCACGGACCGCGAGATCGTGACCTGGCTGAAGTCGGACGCTTAACCGACTGCGCCACCCAGGCGCCCCTGATAAATTTTTTTTAAATGTTTATTTATTTTTGAGACAATGTGGGAAATAGAGTGCAAGCGGCGGAGGGGCAGACAGAGGGAGACACAGAATCTGAGCTGTCAGCACAGAGCCTGATGCAGGGCTCGACTCACAAACCGTGAGATCATGACCTGAGCTGAAGTTGGAAGCTTAACTGACTGAGCCACTCCGGCACCCCTATATTTCTTTTAATTTTGAACACAGACAAAAAACCCACAGTGGTATTAGCAACATGGGTGACCTGTGGACAGAAATTTCATAACATAACTGTTTGCAAGTATTTTGAAAATATATCAAAATTATGGTAATTATTCCTACCATTAGATCTTAATGTATTAATAAACCACATATATTATTTTTTCACAAATTTGTTTTTAGTGTCTTGAGAACTGTATCTCATTATCATTAGTTTCCTTTGTAAATCTATTTTATTTTATGTGTGCAAAAATCTTATCCGAGAAGGAGTTCAAAGGATTCACCAAATCACCAAAGGATCTCAGGCTCCTCCTCCAGTATTTGCTCCCTCAACCTCACAACTATGTCCAACTTACATCTGTTTTCCACTGTAGATGAGCCGCTGCTGCTGTGGGGGAATTCCCTCTTTCTCCTCCACACGCTCCTTGATTCGCTCCACCTTTAGGGGTACAAGTAGTCAGGGGCTGCTAAGGGGTAGAACCATGGAAGTGGAAAGAACAAGAGCTATGCAGATAGCATGAGAGTGAAAGGACTAAGTTCATCAGCACATCCAAACAAATGTGCATGCAGGGAGACAGACATGAAAAAGTATTGGCCATACATTACCTTGTCTGTGGGTTCAATGTCAATCTCAATCTCCTTTCCAGTCAGCGTCTGCAACAGGCAAGGGTTTCATGAGTCCTACAGCCTAATATACAACTGGTTTTCTAGGTAAAACACCCGGTCTTAATCTCTGGGGAATCTACATCTTCTGAAAGAAGCACATTGTCAGCAAAGCTGCTTCGAAGAATCAGAAGGCTTTGACCATATCCGTATTTATCAAACACTTTTAGGCAGTAGACAGCTTTGAGAGGGCATTTGACCATTTGACCCTCTTAATCCCACACGTCATTTTACCCATCTTCTCACGCCCACCCCATTAGAATCCATGAGAATACTGGCATTCCCTTGGATGAGATAGCAATAAGAGATGTCCTAAGGAAAGCATGCCTTTGTTCCCTGTATCAAAGTTAGAAATTAACATTCAGATAATTCAAAGAATTCTCAAGGACCCCAGAGACCACTTATGACCAGTTTTTTCAATTAACACTAAAATTCAACATTCTATTCTGTAACTTCTCCACACTTCTACCTAAATACTAAATTTCAGCTGTAGCTTCTTGACCTCTTCCACAGGCTAAGGGCTGCTGATAATACACATAATAATTACACTGATCATACACTTACAAATGTGCTTCATCCCATCGAGAATGAGAATGAGAGAGAGAGAGAAGTGGAGCTCACCCGAAGGGGGACTCAAACTCATGAACTGTGAGATCATAGAGCCGAAGTCAAATCCTTAACCAACTGAGCCACCCAGGTGCCCTGTCATAGCCAACGTTAAAAAAAAAAAATTTTTTTTTAACGTTTATTCATTTTTGAGAGACAGAGAGACATACAGCATAAGCGGGGAAGGGGCAGAGAGAGGGAGACACAGAATCAGAGGTAGGCTCCAGGCTCTGAGCCATCAGCACAGAGCCTGACATGGGGCTCGAACTCACAGACTGCAAGATCATGACCTGAGCCGAAGTCGGTCGCTCAACTGACTGAGCCACCCAGGCGACCCAATCATAGCCAACGTTTAACACTTTCCAACAGTCAGAAACTACACTGAGTGCACCAACACATTTAATCATTGCAACTAAGTTAGGAGATATATGTACTATTGCTATCACCATTTTATAGATGAGGAAAATGGGGTTTGGATAGGTTAAAAAGCATATCCATGAAGTCAAAAGGAGAGCGTGGACCCAAACACAGACTCTCTGGCCCCAGAGCCTGAGGTTTTGTTTGTTTCTTTTCCAGCTCTGTACTCAGTACCGCCTAAGTGTCTCTGGTCTGATATTAAAACCCAATGTATAGGATAGTAATAGGTTCACAAAACAACAAATGGTCTCTACTTATGGTATTCACATAGACCAGAATGATGACAGTACTTAGGACCTAATTTCTCAACTATGAGAATCAGTTCAGTACTAAGAATATTTAAAAAAATTTGAGTAATTCTTTTAGAGTTACCTCTTTGGGTGCAAAAGAATAAATCACAACAGTGATTCCCAAGTTTCTACCCCAATCCAAGCTGGCCTGTGAAAATTTATGGTAAAATGGAAAAAATAATGACAAGAGTGAGATTTTCATAAAACTAAATATATTCAGCTGTTAAAATATCCTTTCATGAAGGGGTGCCTGGCTGGCTTAGCTGGTGGAGCATGTGACTCTTAATCTCGGAATTTTGAGTTTGAGCCCCATGTTGAGTGTAGAGGCTACTTAAGAAATTTTTTTAATTTTTTAAAAATTGTTTTTGGGGCGCCTGGGTGGCGCAGTCGGTTAAGCGTCCGACTTCAGCCAGGTCACGATCTCGCGCTCCGTGAGTTCGAGCCCCACGTCAGGCTCTGGGCTGATGGCTCAGAGCCTGGAGCCTGTTTCCGATTCTGTGTCTCCCTCTCTCTCTGCCCCTCCCCCATTCATGCTCGGTCTCTCTCTGTCCCAAAAAATAAATAAACGTTGAAAAAAAAATTTTTTTTTTTAAATAAAAAAAAATTGTTTTTATTTATTTTTGAAGGAGAGAGACAGAGAATGAGTGGGGGAGGAGCAGAGAGAGAGGGAGACACAGAATCCGAAGCAGGCTCCAGGCTGTCAGCATAGAGCCCGACGCGGGGCTCGAACTCACAAACCATGAGATCATGATCTGAGCCAAAGTCGGACGCTCAACCGACTGAGCCACCCAGGCGTCCCAAGAAATTTTTTTAAAATGTCCTTTTATGAAATGACAAAAACAATATATGGTGCCTTTTTAAAGCCCTTTCCTGACAAAATGAAAAGTTAGCAATTCTGTGTCATCCATAAATTATTTCACTTTACTGATCTTAATACTTTAAATGCAAAGATTCTTCAAGCAGATAATCTATTTCTAGGTTAACTAACTTGGAGGAAAAACTTGAAACCTGAGTGATGTATTCAAAGAGAAACATGTGTTTACTCAACAGAACAGGTTTACTGTAAAACACTAGGAAAAGCTTAATGCCTGTTAATAAGAAAACTATTAAAACTATGGTATATCCATAGACTGATACCCTTACCATGCAACAATTTATACACTAATGTGGAAAGATCTAAAGAATGTATAATTATATATCATTTTCCATATATAGCAATACACGAATGTATATGTATAGAAAAAATGATTAAAAGCATACATATCTCCTATAGTAGTGATTATCTTTGAGAAGGAGAACAGGACTAAGGGAAGGGTTTATCAAGGGTAACTCTCCCTTTATCTGCACTATTAAAGTTTCTAATAAAAATATACCCCTTCATCACATGAATAATAATAAAACAAATATTCATTCTGATTTAATAAAAAATTTTAAAGAGTAAAAAAGACCCTTAGAGAAGGCCTAGAACTGCTCCCCCAAGGGTAAGGTGCTTGGATCTAATGACAGTAAAAAAAAAAAAATTACTGGCTTGTAAAATTTAAAACTCTAAGACTGGCCCTTTGTTTCTGACTGTAGAAGCCCATGAATGTATCCAGAGAACAATCTGGTAAAGCGGTGTCCCAGCAGCATCACTTCTGGGAAGATAATCATGACTACGCTAAAAAATATACCTATGATAATGGTCATTACAGTCTTTTGACACTCAAAAATTACAAGCAATCTAAGTATTAAATAGTGGGTTAAATAAATTATGACACAAACATAGAAGAAAAATTACGTAGCCCTCAAATAATCTGTGGATTCCAGTTTTGTTAAAAAAAAAAAAAAAACCACCACAAAACACATACGTGTATTTATACGCTTTCAAACAAGTGTAGAAGGGTATATACGTGAATGTTTTTGAGTTATGACATTACGGATGCTTTTAATTAC